CACCAACTTCTGCCGACCGGTTCCAGGTAGCCGGTCCGTTTTGTAGCTGCCGGTTTCCGACCGGTCCAAACACTGGACCGGCTACCTGACGACTGGTCTGCTTTTCGCCAACGGACAAAAAGAGTGAGAGGGTTGACCGCGGCTTGCTGTTTAGGTACAATCCCGTGTCAACTTAACCCGGTAGGAAATGGAAGCCTTAAACCGAACGGTCACGAGCATGATCGAACATCTACCGGCCCTGCAGCTCTGGCTCAGGACGGCTTGGTTCCGTACCGGGTTACACTTTTGCCCGCCACCACCCCGGCTTCCACCTTTCTTTTCCGGTTCTGGTACGCCTCTCGTTCCTGTCCGGCGTACCGGTAAGGCTCTTGAGTCTCAACAGTCTTGCCGGCACGCCGCTCAGTACCGTTCAAGGCTTTTCGGGCTTTCTGGCCGTACCCGACTTGCTTCGGCGTCCGAATCAAGTCTGCTACTGCTTGTTTTGCCTTGCTCTTTCTGGGCAGTTGCCGTTGTTGGACTTCCGGTTGGATTTCCGGTCCACCAACTTCTGCCGACCGGTTCCAGGTAGCCGGTCCGTTTTGTAGCTGCCGGTTTCCGACCGGTCCAAACACTGGACCGGCTACCTGACGACTGGTCTGCTTTTCGCCAACGGACAAAAAGAGTGACAGGGTTGACCGCGGCTTGCTGTTTAGGTACAATCCCGTGTCAACTTAACCCGGTAGGAAATGGAAGCCTTAAACCGAACACTCCTGGTACAAAGTTGGGGTGGCTGTGGATTGTTTGCATCAGTGCGAGGCTTCTACTTCGAGTACTGGGTTGATAAATCCTCAGCAATGATTTCCACAATGCAAATCCATTTCGACTAGTTGCAATACTGGGGTCTCTCGCATGTTGTTTGTTGTTCCGGTTAGCCATGAGCTCAGTAAAAAAAATACAACTTCGTTGACATGGCTTGATGTTCTGGTGAGGCAAATGTAGCTGGTATCAGATCTTGGTATCACATCATGATCAGCCAATGCCTCCAAGTTTTTGAAGGCATCAGTATACTTCGGTTCGGCATACGCGAGGATATTGTACAACTGTTCCTTGAAATCTAGAAAGTCGTGTACTTCGGTCTTTCTTCCACCAAATGATGGCGGGCGTCCAAGCATCTTTACTGCTCCTTCAAGTGCTTTCGATAATGTTCCTTCATACGTTCCGGGGGCACTAGATCCAGACTGCGTTGCTAGCTGACTAATCGCATTCGTGGTTACACGGCTAATGTGTACCAATTGCGTTAAAATGTCTGAGGTAGGAGTCATCCCCAGTCCATCTTCGGGGATAGGAGGTACTTCTCCTGGACTTGCTCCAATCGAGCCAGGAGATCCTTGTGCTTCCATAGCTTCGGTCCTGACAATCAACATCACGAGCAAAAGTGCTTTCATACTACGCTTGCATCCACTTACTTGCCGTCTCCAATGAATAGCATGCATCCGATTCACTTTCCTCCTAGTACAGAAACAGTCGCGGTCTTTTTGCATTCTTCTTGTACGAAGAGTTCGGGTGCTTCACGCAACTTCTTTCGCGAATGCTCCGCATACTTCGCGCGAAGGGCTTCCTTCTCCTTGCGAAGGGCTCCTTTACTGGCATATTTCTCCTTTGACTTGTGCTCTGTCGGCTTGTTTGTCCAGTGTCCCGGCGGTAGGGATTCGGCTCCTTTACTCCCTTGCGCTTTCTCGGGCTTGTCTTCGACATCGTCGAGATCGACAACTTCCGGCTTTCCGGAAATCTGTCCTGTCCTCCTCTTTGTCGCAGCTTGCTGAAGCTCTTCCAGTTCTTCCTTTCTTTCCTCCATAGCATCTTCTTGTCCATACTCCGGCTTGCTTGCCATACTCTTCGAAGCGGCATGAGGTGCTGATCCGTCCATCTTCTCAGGCGGTTCCAGGCACGGGAAGGATTCCGGGTGCTTCTTGAGTTCCTTGAAGCGGTCGTTGCTTCTGCTGACACTTGCACTGAGAGCACCGAAGTCGCACAGGCATCCGACAGGACAATACCTGTTGTACGGGTTTTCCTCATCCTCTCTTTTTTCCACCACGATATTCCTGACTGGGAAATACTTCCTTTCTCTTTCCTTGAGGATAACCAACGCTGGCTCGTTTTTTCGAGGCCAACAGCACGCCATGCCATCCACCAGTTTGAGCAGTTCTCGACAGTGGGAGGCTTCTTTTCTTTGCATGGGGTGCAGTTGAAAAGTTTCCGGGAAAGCGCAGTGTTTGAGCAAGGGTTGTTTGTTTGCGGTTTGCTTTCTTGCTTATGCGAATCCTGTAGGTCGTCACGGCATTTGGCCTCGCCCCAAGCATCCATTGTTCCAGTAGTTGTAAGTTGTTAAAGGCACCTCGTGAGCTGTTTGGCCCGCTATGCCACGTATGTTTTGGGGAGGTCCTTCCCATGCGATTCGACCTTAAGATATTTGAGGCTTCCGCTGGGGCCCTCCATCTTGATGTCTCGAGCCTCCAGATTTTGGACGGGTACTTGGTTGCAGGATAAGCGCCAGTCGTGGGCACCGCTTTGCCAGTCACCAACGCTGACGGAGGTTTGCGGCTGTGATAAAGCCATGATTGGCTCAGCAGCAAGCCTAGTGACGAACAAGACAAAGTATTTCAACAATATGAGCGCAGAACCAGCAGCCAATGTTGGAACACCGACAGCAATGGGTTGGTTTCGTTTGATGTGACTGAAATGTGAAGCAGTTCCAGCATCTTCCAACGATGGTACTTCAATGATTTGGGCAGCTTTTGCGGCCTTCCGGCCGCAACACCGGGGTGATGCTATTCGATGGTCAGTCGCAGCTACCATAATCGATGCAAGCATTAGCAGTGCAAGTCGGGCATCTTGGTGTCATGTTGCGGATCTAGAGAATTGGTCTCCAAGTTGTGCAAGTGGAGTGCAAGGCAGTGGCGTCCAAAAACAGTTTATACAAGCAGCCCCAAACACGTCAACGGTTTGCAGAAGCTTCCTGGTTGAACTATGTTGGCACCCGAAAGCATCGCGGATAAGAATCTGCCGACCTACGAGTCTTACCACAACTAACTAAGATTTTCATCGGATCATGATATGGGTGTTGCACGTGTGAGATAAAATGCGGCTATCTTCTCAACTTTGGTGCCTGTCGAGGGCGGCTTGTAGCAGACCTTGTGTGACGATTTCAGTGTCTGAGCTGCAAGCTGTGGTGAACGCTGATCAGGCTGCAGATGCACCACGTTGACATGATGTCGGCATGGTGGACATCATGCAATCCAGAAATCCGTTTCAGTGTGCAGCGGAGATGGTTTATTTGCATGAGTTCTTGAAGGTAGTGTGACATCTTACTTCACACATCTTGAACTGGTAAGACCTGCAAATGTCATGTCCACAATCGCAGTCGAATTGTGCACGTGCAGCGCGAGCATTTCTGTTTTTCTGAAAATGGTCTGGGTCGACCGAGAAACTTTTCTGAATGTAAGTAGCTGAAACTGTATTTGTCATGGCATGGTTTTACGCTGTCCCTTCCGAGTCGTAGTGGTCCCGCATTCACGGTGCTAAGAAGTGGAGAGAAGGTTGCAGCTGCGGCAATCGGGTACGGAAGCTACTATGTTCCGGCTTCGCGGCTTGCAAAGTTCAGTGGGTTCCTGGACCGGGGCATGCGAGGAAGCCGGCCAGAAACGCGTAAGGAGGGAGATGCGGACGCTTTCCAGTTTTCGACGGTCTTTGCCACTCGGAACTGCCGGCTCTCTTTCGGTGGGCTGCGGCCGTCAACCAAGGTTAGGAAGTACGATGTGTACGACGGCCTCGTGCTCAGGCGTTCGTGTCGCAAGGCCACATTACACTGATCAAGGCTGCAATGTCGCAGAGGCAGATCCTTGTAAAGGTTCAGAATGCCGGAACTTCGCCGCGCAAGTTTTCATGACAAGAAGCGCCTCGTCGTGTTTCGACCTCGACCAACAACATTGCAGTGCGTTCATGTGCTAGCCGCTCCGCTAGCCACGATCTTCTCGAACCCAGCTTCTCTCGAGGTCCTCCGCCAGCAGAAAACTTATGTGAAACACCGTTGAGCACAGAAAGTGCTGCTCAAAGTGGTCTTTTCACGGGCATGGCAGCACCCTGCAAGGTCTGGTCTATCAGTGGTTCTTCTGCTGTGGGATTCTCATTGGTGCACTGGTGGTGGCAGTGGTCGGCAGCACAGAGAAAGGGTCAGTGTTGTGCACTTATGCTGTGGATGTGCGGGCTCTCGCGATCCATCCAGGGCTACTGTATTCTCCTTCACACTTGGCATTGCAAGCGGAAAGCTCGTAGGCCTTAGCAAAGCATTTCTTGAATACAAGGCTTGCAATTAAGCCTTGGAAGGCTGTCGGCTTTCACTGTCGCGGTTTGAATTGAGTGCAAGTCAACCTGTCTTTGTTAGTGTCCTCACTTGGTTTCGTATGGCATGGCTTTGATGCTTGCCTTTGTGGAAGCAGAGAGCTAACTCGGACCTAGGCCCGAAATGATTGGCAGGCTGAAAGCACCGTGGATGCATTTGGCTGCTGTCGAGCTGTTTGTGTTCAGCTGTTTTGCATCGTTCACAGCCTGTTCGGAATGCAGTGTGGCAGGAGTAGTTGAGTAGTAGCATTAGGAGTAGTAGAGTAGTAACAGTAGTATGTAGGAGAAGTAGGAGAAGTAGGAGAAGTAGGAGTAGTAGGAGTAGTAAAGCGGCACGAGCGGTTAAAAAGCGCTGGGCGTAGAGGGTCGCATGGCACTGGACTGCACCTCGGACTTGCGAGCCTGGCTGCTGGAGGAAATCGAGCTGTGTCTGCAAAACCAAAGCACGGACACACTGGAGTGGGCGGAGTGTCTTGCCCTTCATCTGTGGCGGAAGACGTTCTCGAACGTTTGCGCCACGGAAGGAAGCAAGGAAGGAAGGACATAGGAATAATAAGGAAAGAAATAGGGGTAGTAGGAGTAGTAAGAGTAGTAGGAGTACTAGAAGTAGTAGAGTCGTTGTGTTCTTCGTCCTCTTCGATGTCACCTTGCCCGTCACATGAAATCTTTGCATGTTAGCGGTGCTGCTTAGTCGGGTGGGATGATTTCTCTTCTGGGAAGGCGGATTTTTTGGGGACGGACCGGTGTATGCGGGTGCATCTCATCGAGCTGCGAAGATTAGGCTGTTAGGCGTTAGGCGTAGATTGCCCGGTAATTTTTGCCGGCCGAGCAACTGGCAAAGTTGGACGAACGCCTGCAGAGCAATACATGTTGCTGCTTGAAGCTTCCGAGGCATGAGTAGCAGCGCCTTCTACGTTGCTCCCCATGGCCTGCTGCTTGTCTTGGGATTGCTGTAGTCGGACTCTTGGGATTTTCGGCTTCATGTCAGGTTCCGTCACTTATTGCGGCTGGTGTCTCCGTGGACTGAAATTGGCTCAGAAACGTTTAGTCGAGTTCCAATTCATGCCTTGTCCTGGTAAAAGAGCAACACAGGAGATTGCGCTCTGGTCCCGCCTGACTGCAGGAGAATTTCTTTAGTAAGTTGTAGGTTCTTATAGATCAGGTCGTCGACATTGCATGTGGCAATCAGTTCAAAGTCTCCGAGATGTCTTCGTGTCGTCTTAACAAGACACGTCCGGGCAGATTGCATCACATGTCTCCGAGATGTGTTGCCGTACTGGGCATGTCCTATCTAGAGGACTCGTTTTTCCGCTAGATGCACTTTAAAACATTATTGGTGAAGCAGTCCACTCTGGCATCATGTTGATGCTTGAAGTGTATTTCGTGTAGACAACCAAGCTCAGCCGTGCCATGATTCTCACGCAGATTGCATTTGTACGTCGTACCTGTCGACTCGTCTGCACCACAGAAGAGTATGGTAGGTTGTCCCAGGAAAGTCCGTTGTCCTGATGACATCGAGTAGCATGCGTGCAAGATGCAGATGCTTGAGGACGGTATAAGCACAGCCCGCAAGCGAGAAGCTGTCCGCTGAACCCTAACAGACCTGAGAGCTTTTATTTGGTACCTTCCTTGAATGCCGTGGATACTTATCTGCTGCGCCCTTGTCACTTTAGTAGCCGGACGGAACTGCAAGTCACAGCAGGGATAAACTGAATTGCAGGTCCCTTTCGATATGGCTCAGATGTGGTGCATCACTTCACTTTTCGACCGCTTGCCCGTTTGCATGTCGACACTACGTCGAGAGGTATTGTTTTGTTTAGTCTTCTCAAGGGTAGTCATATTTTGCCGAGACTGTTGCTATCCATCGTTGGCTGGCACTCCCGTCACTCATGTCATTGGTTTCGGACTAAAGCTCGCGTCAGTAGGCCATTCGTCTCGCCTGCGGCGTCATACTAGTTGACTCCTGACAGAACTTCGTCCTGTCATCAGTTCAGCCTTGTCTGCTTTGTGCTCTTGATACCAGTTGCCACTGTGTTACTTGCATGCCTAAGTCCACACCGTGGTCGTAAATGAGCCTACAGTACCCAGCAGGAAACTCTACTTGTTCCCAGGGTCTCCACCAGGCAAGCTCGACTCCTTATGTTGAATTGTATAACTGTTGAGAACCTGCCGGTGAGTTACGCACTCCTGCGACACCAAGCCCAGATTGTCCGGCCTGCTGTGGTCCGTGGCGAATGTCTGGGCTACGAGGTGGCCCATATTGCACCAGTAGCGCACTCCAGTCCAGGATCAAGAAGGCTGTTATTTCTTGCTTGCTTTGAGGCATGTGGTCTTGTGTATACTGTTTCTCAGAGATGGTGCAGACGCCCTCTCAAGTGTTAGGTTGCAAGAGCTACGACGCTAAACTTCAGGTCATGTTGAGAACCCCTCGAAGCCACAGGGCTGTCCAGTACTTCGGCATCGGCAACTACTACATTTGGCGGGCACCTCAGCTCAGTACAAGAGCAGGATTCCCACGAAAATATCATTTCGTTGTTTTGCGAAGATGCTGCTCCGTGACTCCAGCATTCCTGCAGCTTCTCAAGCATTCTAAAATCTAAAGGAGTGGACATGTGAGACTCAAGGCACGAGTTGACCAACCTATTCGGCACCTTCGTGATCGGTGTCTTCGGACCCAGCCTGGGTATTCCGGCAAGGCGCACGGACAGCCGTGCATGCATGACTTGTATATTGTCTGTTGAGGGCATTTCAGATCTGCATGAGGTGGCTTGGCGCACGTAACTTGCGCGATGGGCAGATACATCCTAAGCCAGAAACCTGACCATCCCCAATCAGCATGGGCGGCTGCCAACTGCTACGATGCCCGAGGTACAAAAGTCTGTCGGGGAAAGTGCTCACCCAGAGTATCGTTGGGAGGTCCCGGGGCAGCCTGGGATTGGAAACTGTTAAATAAGTATTTTATGATTTTAAAGTGAGGTTCAAAGTGAATTTCAAAAGTGATTTCAAAAACCCGGATCCCGAAAAGCTGATTCCAAGTGTGCTGAAAAGTGATTTTGAAGCAATTGGAAATCGGAAAAAAGTGAATTTTGGCCGGGCGAAAAAGTGAAATTAAAGTGATCGTACACAATTCAGAAAAGTGAAATAAAAGTGATTTGAAAGTGATTCAAGTCCTCAAAAAGTGATTTCAATCTGAGGCTTCAAAAAGTGATTTCCAAGTGATTCACGGCCTCAAAATGTGATTTCACAGCGATTCAAGCCCTCAAAAAATTGATTTCAAAGTGATTTGAGGCTTCAAAAAGCAATTTCAAAGTGATTCAGGGCCTGACATCACTACAGTCCACTACAA